GCCAGTTTGGCGGCCATCTAGCAGTTCTATGGCGAGCACGAGTTGGCTAGAAATCATCCTCTTGGCTGCTAGGGTTAGGTGCGTGCCTCTGCCGTCTGATCTGTCCAGAACCTGATCCACATGCTTCGAGATGCGGTCGCGTGTGAGTGCTGCATGTGAGTAAAAAAACTCGAGATTTGGGATAACACATGCCAACTGGTACATTATTCGATTGAAGTTGTTGACTTCACAGTTTAGCCAGCCACGGCGTGTGTGAAGTATCGAATTCACGACGAAAGTCGAGTGTGAGTATCTGGAGCAGTAGTACTTAAGCTTTTTAGAAGCCCATTGAGCGAGTGTTAGGCCAGACATTTGAGGATTGCGACTATCTTTATGCGTGCTTAGGTCGTTGATTCCCATCGCTAGAATAACATACTTCGAGTACTCAAACTCATGCTCAAAGTTTGGCAGATCTGTGAGGTAGTAGTTCTTTTTCCTGATGCAGCGGTGACCGCTAATTCTGCCAAAGATGTGCTCCGGGGTTGAACTGAGGATGGAATCGGTGACAAAGAGTATGCGATGCTTATTTGTTGCAGTTTGTGGCGGTGGCTCGTGCTGCATGGGGGGTGCGGGAGGTTTCATGGGAGGGTCAACGATGTGACGGAAGGTGAAGGATATCCGTGGTTCCTGTACGGCTGGGTCAAAAAGAAGCTCATGGCTCCAATCATTCTGTGATTGAGCACTCATGACATGGATAGAACCGTGCTTTAACTTAACTCTGTGCTCAGATAGGGGTCCAACTCTGTTTACAAATTCGAGTTCCCTAGTGGCCCCCACAGATATAGTGTATATCTGGCTGTCACTCTTGATGTTGGTTTCATTATCTGAATGAGCAGGGATGGTCGCACGACCGTCTGGGTAGTATGTTAGGAGACAGGAGTAGGTATCAGTGTTGAAATGTTGTACCTTCGATTTCAAACTGTCGATGACGGACGTCATGATGGTGCAGTCGGGGTAGTCGTTTGGGTCGTGGTGAGTATTTCCGTAGTTATACCCCCGCTTGCCAAAGTAGGTCACCTTACGGCCATGGCTGCTGGGCTCTGTTATCGGGATTTGATGGAGGATTTCGCTGACGGATAATTCTTCAAAATTAAAGTCTTCAACAAAAGAACATACCGATTCAGGGAGGATGTCACCTGTCCAGTCGCTCTCTCTGTTCAAGTTTTCCAAGTCTCCGTCATCCGAGTACGGGACTCCTTTACCGGGGACTGGGGGCCAGTCTTTGACACGTGCGTTCAGAGCAACAAGTTCGTCAACTTGTTTCTGTGCTTCTTCCACGAGACATGAAAAGTGTGACAAGGTTAGGTCATGAGACGTGGCAGCGGCTTCAAAATCTATACACATATTGTCTGCCAAGTTAGATTTTAAGTCGAGATTAATCTGCGACAGATATGTGGCTTTTAGATTCGGGTTAAATCTAGCTTGTCGTTTGTGAGACAGAGATCGTAGGTAATTTGCCTCGAACTGAATCTGCTCAACAGACAAATTGCCAGCGATCAGGAGTTCGTTACATGTTTTGCTCGAAAAAGAGTTAACACAGTAACTTAAAGTCTGGGTAGAAGAGTCAATCATCTTCTTACCTTCGAGAGATGGCGAGTTGGAGGTGTAGGAGTTGTCCCCTTTCCCAGGTGTAGCGCCGGGAGAAGAGGACGGGTGGCCCACCTCCGAAACCAGAGCTGGAGACAGTGACTCAGGCTCATTAAAGGAAACGAAAAAAGCACAAGAAGCCTCCGGTTTCTGCTGGCCCCCAGTCATGCTGTACATATATAGGCAAGGTCGTATACAAGCGCGATTCAAGCAAGCATTAGCAAATTGATACGAAAGTTAGATAGATAAAGCTACACTGAAAGTTATCAGAATATATAATGGTATGTAATATTATGTGCTTAACAGCTGATTTCAGGTAGTTACTGATACTATATCAATTGGTTTACTCAAAGTCAACTCGGATCAAGTACTAGTAGGCTACACCCTATATCCTTTTGTCCGTTTATGAACAGACTGTGACAACTCAGTCCATGACATCTCTCACAAGTCACGTAGTGTGTTTAGGGGTCGTGAGAAGGTTCTATGACTCGCCAGTCACGTCTTTTAACTCTCACAACACCCCTAAACACACAGTGAGACTTGTGGTTTCCATTAAATATGTTTAGACGTTGTGACACTACTCGTGTCTTTAGGGGTGCTGTGAGAGTTATCACAGTCTGTTCGTACCCTCACGGCTCTCGACAGACTAAGTAAAACAAGGCAAATAAATGTAAAAACTATATGAGAATAATCGACGTTTCCACACTTATTGGACTATACTGTCCTATGTCTCATAGAAAAATACGCGAATTATCTTACACTTGTCTACTGTTTGTAGCGTAAGACTGATAAAATCACAAAATGTTAAAAATCACAATTCCTCACATGCCGCGATTTATTTGTGTCTTTGATTCGGATACCTTATCATTTCATTATCCTAGGATGTTATAAAGTGTTGGGACCGTTTTTTAAAGATGGATCTAGAGGACGGAGCCCCCTCCCCTAACACGGAATCAGAGAATGATGTTCCTGTGGAAAAAATTGTTTTGATCCTGGTGGCAGTCCTTTTCTGGATAATTTGGACATTTTATAACACTTCTAGTTTTCTTGCACGCAGATTAAGTCGGAGTAAACGAACCAAAGTTATATCCTCCTCATCCTCCTACCCTACTGTTCAAGCAATAAGTGATGAGGTATTGTACCCATTAGATCAGATTCAAGCAATAGATGATAAGGTATTGTACCCATTAGATCAGATTCAAGCAATAGATGATAAGGTAATATACCCATTAGATCAGATTCAAGCAATAATTGATAAGGTAATGGACCTAATAAATGTGGTATTGGTAAAATATCAGATTCAGATAAAGCAATTCTTTGAGGTGTTGGTTTTGTCACTGTAAAGCATGTGGATCCTCCCGCCACAAATCTCACTAAAGGCACAACTCAACAACTAACTGCAGACAATGTTGAACAAGTATTTCGGAATAACACTATTGTTAATAACACTTGTTTTGAAACAAAGCCTCTTAGTCTTATTTATGTTTATAGTTGTCCACTGACTGCACCATTCAGTAGTTCCAAAACGTCTTTTCGCAGTGCATTCCAGCGACAATATCTTTTTGTGGATTATCATGCTTACGTAGTTTTCTATACAGGCCAAAATGAACGTGAAATGTGGTGGGCACTCGATAAGCAGAGAGAAGGAATATTTCTTAGTTGGGGAGACAGCAAGGATTGGGTCACACACTTTTTCAAGGGAAAGCCCCGTGCTAAACCGATCAAGAAGCTTGCCGAGGATGTTTCAAACTATCCAGTAAAAGACCTTGCTCGCCGTTTGAGAAACATATTGAAGTCAAATGAATATGATCTAATCGAAGAAAACTGCCAGCATTTCTCCAAGGAAATCTTCGATAAATTTGCTATAGATAAAAGATGGGAATTCACTACTCCTATCGACATGACAAGCCCTCTTAGTTTGACTACAACCGGTTTCATCGTTTTAATAATCCCACTATTCGTCTTCTACGAACTATGTCTTCTGTTTATAGAGAGCAGAGAAAAAGAGTATTTTCATTATCAGTATATAGTGTACGTTGTTACATTGGTCTCGCTTATCTTACTGTTTTTCAACGATAAAGGTTGGGGCATGCAGGTTTATGCAGATCTTAGTAGTGCTCTTTTGTTTTGTTGTGTTCTCCCCCTGGAAGCTGTATTCTACGCTCCTCTTTACACTATTAGGAAACGGGGTGCACAGTATCGTAAAATATGTAGATCGGGCAACGTATTTTACAAGTTTGGGTTATTTCTCTGTTTTGGGTCAATGTATACACTAGCTGCTTACTTGATTCTTGTGTACTTTCCCTTATATATCGTAACACAAATGACCTCGAAGCAATCAGAATATAAACAGTGTCTGGGCTTCCTGCTTTACTATTTGACTTCATTAGATTTTGCAATAACTACTTTTCACAGTATTGCTAGCTGGTTGTTTTATCTTCCGAGTGCGCTCAGTGATATTTCACTCACTATTTCAAGTGTAGTGCTATCTGGATTTTATCTTAGTTTACAGGACTAGATTTATCAATTTAACTGTTGAACATGTTATAAATGTAGTTGTTAACGAACTTTTAAAGTATGACCCGATATAACACTCATTACCATTTAAACCAATTTTAATGCATGTGTTTTTATGATCAGTAGAAATCGACTTGTCTTAATTTCGCTAAAAAACTTGAAAACCTGATCGGCTTTTCACTATCCACAAGAAATAACATCATAATGTTGACTAAATTATTGCGTGACTCTAGTATTACAGTTTTACTGATCGCTTTTCAAATAATAGTAAGCATTATATTTGTTAGTTTTACATATCCACTTTATTACAGTGAAGATATTTACATTTTTGTTCAACTTTCAGTTTCAAGTCTGGACCAGTTAAATTCTGGATTTTAGTTCAAAGAAAGAAAGCTTAAAGTTTATCATGTTTATTATTGAAAAGAATACGAAATGGTTTTTTTGCTATGATTTTGTTGTTTTAAAATGTCATTTACGGTATGAAACTTACTTTCTGTTAAAGTTCTTAAAATAGCGTGTTTTATTTGTTTAATGAGGATTGAGAAAAGTTAACAAACTAACAAACTAACAAACTAACAAACTAACAAACTAACAAACCAACAAACCAACAAACTAACAAACTAACAAACCAACAAACTAACAAACTAACAAACTAACAAACTAACAAACCAACAAACCAACAAACTAACAAACTAACAAACTAACAAACTAACAAACTTACAAACCAACAAACCAACAAACCAACAAACCAACAAACCAACAAACCAACAAACCAACAAACCAACAAACTAACAAACTAACAAACTAACAAACTAACAAACTAACAAACTAACAAACTAACAAACTAACAAACTAACCGAGTGAACAGCTTGTATCAAGGGGGTACTGTCTCCAGAAGTACTGTTTCTGAAGTTAATATCTGCTCCCTCGCTGATATACCTGTACATAGAGTCTATATCCGCCGTCCTGCAGCTTACAAACAAACTCTGGGGAGATAACATCCTTATCAGTCGGAAAAATATATTGAGATAAAACTTAACATTATGTAAAATGTTTAATGTTTATGATGTATTCCACATTCTTATTCCTCCTTACCATCATGAAAGTAATTGAAATTTAATGTGCTGTGTAACAGATTTGAACAATTGCTACATTCTTGCACAGGAAATATTAATAATATTTATACTCACGTTATTTAACGCTAGAGGTCCGATAAGATTTAAGTTGAGACTAACTTCAGCATCTTCAATATCCTGAAGTAACGTAATTAGTAACACTTGGTTGGTTACTCTGATAGTAGAATCAATAACAGCAAGTTATTAGCAGAGGAATAAAATTAAAATGCTCAATTATAAAAGGGAGTATCTGATCTATTTATATAGCATTGAGCTAATATCATTGGCGTGAATTGCCCACCTGGCTGTATCAATAGTGGTGTTATAGTGTTATAATCAGAAATTATAATAAAACTAGGCGGATAATGTTAAACTAGAAGCGGAGCTGCTCTTACAGACGTAGGTGGTAACAGTATGACAGTAAGGTACAATAGAAATATTAATAAATACCACCCCCTGACCCCCTGACTCCCTGACCCCCTGTCCCCTGACTCCCTGACCCCCTGACCCCCTTCCTGTAAAGATTGCAGCTGTTCCCGGCCAGTACCACACAAAGATAATTATACTGGGTTAGGGTACATTTCGCGTACTGATGTAGCTTTTAATTTTAATACATGTTTCTTTTGGTCATATAAATAATAAAAGAGGCTCATTGCATTGGAAAGGGTATTGTATGGAAATTTGAGTAATGTTTGGCGACTCCTTAGCCACTCTGATTGTCATATACTCCTCTACTTAGGAATTTTCTCGCATTTAATTGACTATTTTAGCAGACATATTTCCTTCATAATTATTAAAATCCTACCCAGAAAATATTAACTTCTAAATAGGTCTCCTCTTAAATATATTCAGTTGATGTATTTGTCAACTGCTCCGTTTAGGAAATCATGATTGTTCATTGCTTTTCATTTTAGATTGTCGCACCTAATCCCAGCTTTAATTCCCTTTCATTTTAATCATGTTAATGTATGTGTTGTTCCATTTTAAATGCATATGTTGGACCCAAATATGGCAGGTTAAGCTCGAGCATCTCGTAATCTTTAAGTATAATAAGTAATGACGAAAATCAATATATAGCTTCTTTCCGTATTATTGCTAGTTATAAATTGTTATGTGCATGTCACGACAACAACTAGTAATCGATATTACAGCCTCTACCTTCAAAGCTTCAAGTAGTATACTAACTAATTTTGAATGCAACCCTTTTAAGGTAGCCCAACTCATTTTGAATGTTTACTTTTTAAGCTAAAAAGGCTGCAAAGTACTATCATACTGCTAAGATTCAGGACATAAATTGATGGAAGTTTTTGATAGAAAATATAAAACAGACATCCGGCATCCCACATAAGTCAGGACCTAAAAATAGCCGGAATAATTATTGAATAGTATAAATCACTGCTCCTAAGGTAAATTATTGATTATGGTTTTAATTAACCTTATAATACTTCTTAAAGTTGCTAACACTATTATTGGCTGGCTAACACGTGGTCATTGGTTAAATAGCAAGTGTTCGTCAGTCCTTATATACTATATAGTATATAGTTTTTATATTATATTATAGTCTCTTATACATACAGGGTGAGTTGAAAATAGTGTGTGGAAAGTAAAAATCGATAATTTTTTTTATGAAGGAGCAAATTTTGAAAGGTGAATTGTTATCAGTTCATAAACTTTACATATTTCATTCTTTCCTCTCATTTGATTCTAACTCATAATTTGGTTGATTTTTGGCAGTTTTCCAAAAAATCGGCTATAGACAATTGTCTTACACGTTATCAATATGTCCTAGCTAATAAAGGACGATGGGTTGAGCAAATTATTAATTATTAAGTATTTTAATTTTATTACAATAAAAAGTGTGTATTTTCATTACCTAAATATGCAAAAATTAAGTGGAAATTTCATTTGTCAAAAAAATTAGAGCCATTTACTTTCCACACACTATTTTCAACTCACCCTGTAGATAGTTTATATATTGATTGATTTTGGACACGAAGGGAAACACACAAATTTGGCTTGGAAACTTCGTTTATTACATCGCTAGAGCCTACAAAAAAGAAATAAATTAGTCAGATAAAATCAATCATAATACTCAGTCAAAGAGATTCAAAAATTTATAAAAAGGTCATGATTAGAGAATATCATGAAAGTCGATCAGAAATTGGAATACGATAAAATTGTTTCACTGATAGCGTGGTAGATAAAATTTATAAAGAAAAATGACGCAAAATTGGCACAAAATTGTTAAAATTAATTAATTACAGATATTGGTAAAAACCACAAAAAAACTACCTTTTAATTTCCATCCTATTTAAACCCCAAACATTAGTTCTAAACTTTGCACAAAATCTAGCCTCTTCCCTATCTAATAGGGAAGGTTTAGTCTTTTTCACAATCCCGAATTTGAAACAGTCAAAACTGAAAGTGTCCTTGTGTACATCGTAACAATGCATTGATAAGGCTGAGTGCTCGTAGAGGGCACGGTCGTCAATGTTGAACTTGTTCCGGTGCCCATTGAGCCTAATGTGGAATGGAGTCAACGTCTGCCCAAAGTAAATGTCCTCAGATCCCTCAATAGCCCTACACTGCTGGCATTGTGCAACGTAAATAATGTGCTTATCTTTGCACGTGAGGGATTCGTCTAGATTAAGCTCCATGCCGTTGACCATGATCTTAGAGTCAAGATCGAACAATACCGGGCAAGTCTTGCATCCAGGGGCTGAGCACTTCTGTGATGTTTTTTGGGGACATTCAGCCTTATTTCCAAGTTGTCGATTCTTCACTACCCTGTTTATATATTATAGTTTATATATTATAGTTAATATATGACACAGTATCTCATATAGTTTATAGTGTGGTTATCGAATTCGTTTTTCCTCTTCTTCGTAACTTGAATTCTTAAATTTTAACAATCTGTAAACCGAGTGATTGAAAATAACTTTGCCATAACATTGTTACAATTAACGTTCGACGTTCTTTTTTGTTCTCGGCGATTTTTGTGATCGTTTGGTTAGTTCCTGGTTTATGAAGAATTCAAAACAAATGTTAGTAAGCATCTTAGGATGAGTCTTACGCTTTATATTGTTCAATATTTTAAATTGTTCACTTCAATATTTTGAACAAAACATTTACGATTAGTAACATTGGAATTTTTGCAGTGATCTCTCGATCCTGTATTCTCCTATAGAAAATTTACCACCATGGCCTGGCACTAAGAGGTTCTAAATAAGAATTGAACTTTGTAGCGACCTGTCACCAAAACACGTGTTTTTTAGAATAATAGAACACAAGTTTCTATTGACTTCTAAAAACGTGACTTAAACTTAAAGCCACGCAATAAGGAGCAAGATGTTGAGCTGACAATACTGTTCGCTACTGACTATGTATGCACATTTTATGGCGCTCGTACCGCGAGTGGTGTTAAATTATAAATATGCACAAAATATGCGAGAAACATATAATTCACAACTAAACGAAATATGTCGATATACTGCGGAAGATACAGAAAATTTCCAATTATGCCATATCATTGAATAGGGACTAATAATAATATTCCGCGAAAATGTAGTTGTAACATAATATGTGATTTTAAACCCGTCGCGTTTTTATGTTGCCTGATGCCGTTTTATTTGATGAGCAACAAATTTCCGTTGACAAAGAGCTTTCAATGCCAGGTGCGCTAAAGACAGGTGCGTTAAAGACAATGAACATAGTTACGTTTAAACGGGGCGCTATTGTGTCCCAAAAACTTGCCAAGTAACAAGACTGAGGTTATTTGAACACTTCTCATCTTCACAACGTCTTGATTGTTCAGTAGTCAAACAAAAACGCAGCCATAAACCATATTCAATGGGATGGACAAGTTTGAACCAGGTCTAGCCACACCCTGTCTCCTTAATATAAGGGCTTGTTTTAATTTGTAATGAAAACCTCGGATACTAACAATTTACCTTTTCCCTCCTAAAGTCCTCAATTTCAACATAATTGGTCTGATTCCGATCTCGAAGTAGTTAAAATACAAAATTCTGTAATAATTCTAACCTTCTCTTCTGGGACGTGGGTTAAACACGATACACGATAAATGCGAGTAATATGAGTCATGATACTTGCACCAGAACTTATGATTTCAAAAGAATTTGTTGGCAGTTTTTACTAAATCCATTTGACCAACAGCTGCAAATTGTATTTAAAAGATCTATCGGCTTTTCGTTTATCGAACACCGCCACATAACCTCGCATAGTCAATGTTGGTAACACAAAATCCACTTGTTAAATTTGTTGCAGCAATTCTTCAATCCCATTTTCAACAAAACTCTTAATTCAGGACGAAAAGACCTCAAACTGTGTCTAAGTCTCCAATTCGAGACCAATATCCGAAACGGAAATAATTGAAACTGGACGTCACCGCACTCAGTGTGTCTACTTCACATTAATTATCAGAAGTTATCTGTGTTGTCGTATGAGGAGACTGTGTTCAGTTTATTGTTGTTAATCTTTTGTAGTCTTGTTCTGAATAACTGTGTGTATATTGTTAGCACATCAGCAATTTGCAATTTACTTTATGGACTTTATGATTCTCATACGGATGAATATTCTGTTTTTTTGGTGAATTACTCTATCCTAGAGCAACAGCGGTACGTTATTAATATTATCCATCCTTTAAAGAACAGATTAGCCGTAAATGTAAAGGTGATCTGGCCCGAAATCTTTATCAGTCTGGCATGTGTCATTGCAAATAGGGCTCAGAATATAAACTAAAAATCATTTTTAGTTAGTCACTGACGAATCGCGTTTTTTCCTCGTGACTATCTACAACGATTATGGGTCCTAAACGTTAAAAGATAGGGGGCCGGGGATCATGTTTTTTGTCCATTTTTGTTCATACGATTTTGTCCATACTTAAATAGGATACCGCATGGACAAAAATGAACAAAAATTGTAATTTTTCATTTAGATTGTCTCCACAATTTGTAACAAACTGCCTGCAGAAATGGTTAGCGACCAATCACGATCAACGACCATGGCCCTTTTTAGGGTACACTTTGGTCATTTTTTTCAATCTTTAAATCCTCATTTAGGTACAGAAAATAGTCTGTATTTCTACAATGACTCTCAAAGAGAGAAACCTTTGAGCAAAA